GGGGGGTAAACTCTACAAATAGTTGTGGGGGATACCGGTGAGAGAAAAAAAGGATGATGTTAATCCTTTTGTTTTCTCCCCTGCCTTTGTGTGGGTTGTACGCAACTGTGACACCTTCACACTCCTATCACACTTTTTTCTTTGTTTCCTCTCTACCGTGTTTCTACCCTTCACACTTCGTTCCAAACTACAACTGGCACGAAAACACGACGAAAAAAAAAAAAAAGACACAACAAGACATAGAAGCAAATACATAAGGATGCTCATTTATGCGGTTGTCAAGCTGGATGACAGACGACACGCAGCGAACGCAAACGTGTTTAATCAAAGAATGACGCTGCGGTGAAACTCCCTTATTAACAGCAGCATGACTTTACACGATTCCTTGTGTGCGTGTGTGAGCGAGACATTACAGGTGCGTGTGGGGATGACTGCTTGCTTCGTAATCGTCATCATAATAATGATAACAGAGCAGCGTGGCGTCTTGCACCCCCGTCCTTACCAGACGCAACACCAGCGACAGCAGCACAGGCAGACAGACAGACAGACAGCCCAGAGAAAACACACATATAGTTATCGGGCTCGTCGTACGGTGTTCGGCTTAAAACGCGACTCGCGACGCTGCTGCAGGTTCCGTTTGAGGCCCTCGTTTTGCCGTTTTATTGTCTTCGCCAATGCGCTGAGGCTCTTGCTGCGTGCCATGCGCTGCTGGACCTCCTTCATGCGGCGCGCTGCCAGCGTTGCATCCTGCCGCTCCTTTTCCCGCCGCATCTCCAGCACGTTGTCCACATCATCCCGCGGCTCTTCGACGTCCGCATTACCACCATTGTTGTTGCCGCCCGATGCTGCTGCCGCCGCTGCTGCTGCTTCCTCCACGAGGGAAGAGAACCGATACTTCTTCATGTCCTTTTTGGCACGCAGCCTCTCCACAAGGGCGGCACGCTCCTTCGCATCTGTGGCATCGCTTTTGCGCAGCTTCTCCTGCATTTCGCGACGCTCTCGTCGCCGCTGCGACGCCGACAACATGCGCGGGCCGGTCAGAAGCACGTTTTCTGGCAGAACGGTATCGCGCAGAATGGAGAGCGTCCCGCGCACTGCTGGGTGCTGTTTCAGCATCTCCGGCGTGGCATCGAAGTGTTTGATCGGGTTGAAGCGGCGAAACTCCTCCTCGCTGTCCACAAACACAATGTGTTTGTTCCGCGGTGGCGCAGATGTGATGGCCGTCGAGGCGTCTTCCTCGAGCAGCTCCTTGGCGCGGCTCACGTCGGCCTGCGCTTTGTACTGCAGATACTGGACGTTGCGCGAGTTGTGTTGCAGCGTCTTCTGTGTCACGTGCAGTTTCTCCTCCTTTGCGGCTGGCCGCCGCTTCATTTTGCCCGACGCGATGTCGAGAACGGCCTTCGTCATACCGAGGTGAAACTCATCGGGGTTCCGCTGCGCCGCTGCCCGCTTCAGCTGCAACAGCCGCTGCACCTTCGTCTTCCGCTTGCGCGCGCGCACAACATGGTCCTTTCGCTTCTCAAGCGGGCCGAGATGCTTGCGCGCGGCAGGCTGCGAGCGCTCCTTGTGTGTGGTACGCTTGATGTGCTTGTCCAAGTTGCCCACGCCGGGGTTGCGCCCCTTGCCCTTCGTCATTGCCGCGTTGTTGCACTAATCACACAGGCACGCACTGTTTGGATCTCTCTCTCGCCCTAACTTCCACCTCCTTTTTTTTTCTTCTGCTTGTGCGATCGCCCGTTTTGTCACACCGCTGGACGCGCGCAAATACGTGTGGTGGGAGGGACTACTTCCTTGGCTGAAGCAAGGCAGGCGCGACACCACCAAGAGTAACACACTCCCACACAAATACCCACACCACCAGGGGAGGGGGGTGAAAAAGGGAGAGAAGCAAGAAACAGAAGAAAAACGGAGCAACACCTCGTGGCATCTTGGCACTCCTTTCACCCAGCATAGCAGGAGTGCAATTATTTTAGGAAATCACACACACACACACACACACGCCGAAGTGCGCACATAAATAAGTACACAAGGTTTTCCTTAAGGCTTATACGAGGGGCACCAGTGCAGAATGAGAGCGCATGGCCGAATGTGTCAGTGAATTGCCGTGAGTGAAGGTGGGACGTGTGAGAGGACGAGATGGAGCCTTAGCGTCCCTCTCTTCCCTTGACCTCCCTCCGTCAACAACCTTCATTCGATCACCCTCAGCAGCCTCTGAATTCTACTGGCGTGTGTCATGCTTCTTCTTCCTTTTCTCCTTTCTTTTCTTTTCCTGTTTTTTTTTTTTGCTTTAGACGGACTGTCGTGCTGCTGCTGCTGCTGTACTCGTGACGTTTGCCTCTGAGCTTCGAATGCGCATCGCCAGATCGCGCATACGCTCCGCGAAAAGTGTGAGGGCGTGGCGCAAAATCTGCGAGGCGTGCAGATGCCCAATGCTCTCAATGGTGAAACGCATGCGCGTTTTATCCTTCTCGATGGTAATCTTGTCAGCAATCTCTGGGTGCACGTCACGGCGGAGACACTCACGGCATAACGTGCAGTTCTCCACCTCCGTCACCACCGCCTCGCCGTTCTCATTCACACGGAAGGCACCTGCGGGGCAGAGACGCTGCAGCTTTGTTGCACACTCACCACGAATCGGCTCGCGCAGACTGATGCTGGTCTTGAGCTCGTAGAAACACGCAGACGCGGGGGCCCACTTGGCGTGGACGCCGCCAATGCCCTTCACAGCGATGACGCGCAGCTTCAACCGCTGCCCGGGCCCTAACTTTGTCAAAATAATGTCGGGATGGACCAGAAACACGCGGTCCTCGTCTGGCCCATTCGCCCACGCCTCTTGTCCGGGGAGCGGCTTCCACTTCAGCTCGCCGCTGTAGACACTCGTCGCCTGCGCGTCACGACGCCCCTCCGCGGCGAGCTCAAACACCAGTACCCGCTGAGGGTCGAGAGCGTCAAAGCCTACCTGGTTGCTCTCTGTCACGAACTGCATCTTCGCCACGGGGCCGGCGAGCGGCACGAGGCCAATGCGGTGTGCAAGGAGCTCATCGGGCACGACACTGTCATTTTCCTCAATAAGGATTCGATCAAACGCAAGGACGGGAACCTCGGTAAGGATGAGCCTACGAAACATATTTGCAATTGGTGGGCTAATACGTTCCACGTCAAACGTCATGGTCTCAACACGGCGCGTGGTGGCAGTGGCGGCCTCCGCCTGTGATGTGCTGCTCTCATCGTTCTCCACCTTTACGCCCCGGTTGTGTTGCGGCAATCCCGCAAGGGCAGACGTGATGGTGATGTTCGATATCGTCGGCATGTCCGGCAGCACTGTTGGCGGTGGCACTACCTGGCCGCTGCTGTATGTGTGCGGTGAACTGAACGTCTCCGTGTGGCGCGCCTTGTCGCTGCCAATCTGCACCTTGGCGTTGTGACTCATTGCTGTCCTTCCTCTGGTGCGTGAACTTCTGTCTTCGCACTCATCAAACAAAGCAAGGAAATAAAAGCCCATTCAAAGAATATAATAAGATGGCACCAATGTGTTGAACAACAAAGGAGCACCCTCTCCGCGATGGTTCCCAAACGGCGTCCATAATAATCATACTTATATCCAGGAATAGAACAAAGAGCAATAAGAGGCATCAGAAGTTCACATGATCTTGATCCCGTGCGTGTAATGTGCTTTCAATGGCGTACACGCACACATACACACACAATAAACAGTAATGGGACACACGAGCAAGGAGAATACACCAACTGTTATATCCTTATTTAATAGCCCAATAACAACTGCTTCTGTGCCTTTTCTTTCTCTCTCTGTTCTTCTGTGATTGCTTAACTGGTCTATGAAACCACAAAAACAAACCATCACCAAGAAAACCGTGAACGTTTCTTTTCTTCTTTTTTTCTGTATGCGTTGATGATGATGACCTTTGGTTTGCGCGCTAAGCTCCCTGTACCTCGCTTCCCTGTTTTGTGACGTCCCTCTTATTCATTTTGCTTCGACAATCAACAAGAGTCAGCGCTGCTAGAAAGTTCCTCGTCATCATCATCATCATCATCTTCGGAGTCGGTCAGAAGGCCGATCTGTGGAGCATGACTTGACTTCTTCGGTGGTTGCATTGATGACACTACATCCTGCAGAGGCTGCCGCTGGTTCTGTGCGTAGCCAGGAGCCTTCTGTGCATTGTATGGCAGACTCCTTGCATCTTCTCCCTCCTCCTTTTCTCCCTGATTCTCAGGGCTGTAGTCCACCCTTTGGAGGTGACGCGGCACATCGTCACGTGACCTGGGTCTTCCAGTTTCCTCCCTGTTGCCACTATGTGGTAAATGATCGATGATACGCTCGTTCTTGAATATATGCACCTTCTTACCGACACAGGTAAAGGACTTCAGCGCAAGCGCTCGTGCCTCCACTTTATGATTGCGCACATCAATACGGGCGACATTGCCAACGATGCGTGTGGGACCTACCTTCACGCCCATAGTCTCTCCCAAGGCCTTGGCAAGAATGAGAGGGATGTTTCCATATTCACGTGGTGGCACCGGATACACGAGAACTGATGGTGGGCGGTTGGCAATAGCTTCTGCTGGAAGCGGTGGTGGCGGTTTTGTGAGTGGATTAACCGCAGGTGCCGGAGGAAGGATTCCCATCAGCGCGAGTAACTCTGCGGCGGGAGGAGTTGAAGGTGGGGGTATCGAAGCTGTTACCCCAGGCGTCGGTATCTGCTGCGATGGCGCCCCCAGCACGCTCTCAGGTGATGTATTTGGATTAAATGTGAGTGGCTGTGCCGATGGAGTAGCATTGGTAGTCGCCCAAACACCCTGGCCCATTGTGGAGGCTACCTGACTCGACTGCTGTGCTATTGTATCCTGCATATTGGCTCCACTCATCATCACGGCAGGTTGCTGAGTCGGAGGCGGTGCGGCACCGTCCTCTTTTATTGCCAAGAGCCGTTCAAATAGAGTCGGTGCACCACCACTGCCACTCCCACCTGCGTGACCTGAATTAAAAGAAGGGCCAGTCGACTGCGCCCCTTTTTCAAATGTGAAGCTGCCAATTGAAGCATTGGAATCTACGGGGGGCGGCCTTAGCGGCGCCGAACTCTCCGCAGGGGTTGGGGCCGCAACGGCTATATTAGGAGGATCAGAAGCCCCTTGTTGAGCGAAGAAGGAGGAAGCAGGCGGAGGACCCCCCGCAGCATCTCTTGTTGATGACGTTGGCAGCCGCGTGTCGTGAGTCTTGAACAACGTTGGTGGCCGGACCTTGTGCTCAGCTGCAGTTTCCACCTGCATGCCGTATGATGACATGTACTCCTCTGCATTCACCTCTTGGAATTGGTACCGTCCATCGCCAGACACAACTCCAATTGTGGAATCAGTGCCATGGGGCTGCGTCTCCGTAGATACCACAGGGTTTACACTACTAATGCCGATTTCACTCTGTAATTCTTTCTCAACGTCCTTTAAGAAATTCTCCAACTCCTCTAAATTATCACCGAGGACCTCCAGATCGGGTGCTTCACGACGCAAAACATGCAGATAGTAACCGTGTAATTCATGTTCAGGATGAAGGAAGGCGAACAGATCCGGGTATAAATTCAAGAATCTAGCTTCCTGTTTACGTGTACGAGCCGTGGCGACACTCTGTGCAATTTGGAGAATGTTTCTATCCATTACAGGGTCAGGCATCTTTCCCACATATGCCATAGGCTGCTTTACACCCCCATCAAGAACACTGGCGGTGGCAGGGACGTCGCCTGCAGACAGCGAAGATACGGCATGAGTGTTGGGTTGCCGCCTGGAAGGCTCAACGGCGGTAGGCTTCCCAGGGTTTGCACTGTACTGATAGTACGGGCATAGCGCACACTCGGCATTTTTTTGAGTTTCTGCTGCTGTAGTAGCACTGAAACGAATAGCACGTTCCTCACGCAGCCAACCATGGGCGTCACGCTCCCGCTTTGCCCACCAATCCCACGCCTCTCGTATAATAAACATGGCGTCATCATTTACAGGCCACGACTTGTCACAAAGTAATGCCTTAAGACGTCGCCGAACTTGTTCCCGCATCTGCTGCAGCCAGCTTGCTGTCGTGGTGCGCATGCTGAATAAGAAAATACCGTCTACTTGCACAACGACCGGTGCAACTTGGATAGTATCGTAGGGCTTCAGTGCAATAGAGACCGATGGCAATTGGGCGGGTGGCGGAAGACGACGGGAAAGTTTGGTTTGCCGCCATGCGTTCGTCATGATTGATGTCCAGCCACGGCAGCGATACGACGGCTGCTTTGACCACTCAAGCATCTCACCGCAAAACACAACAGCCGCATCCATACAGAGTGGAGTTGCCTCTTCAAGCACGGAAAGATTTTTTTCTGCAATGCGTGATCGGTAGAGGTACAGGTAAGGCTTCTCTGAGTATTGCTGCCACACCTCCTCGCTGTTCATCACGGATTCCTCAGAGAACATAGCAGGCACCACGGTTAATCGAGGAGCAGCTCCACTACCACCTCCTCCCGTCACCGCTTTCGCCAAATTATTTTTGAACTCTAACAAAGAGACTGTGCCATCATCATGAGGGACTGCACACTGAGGGTAAATAGCGGCAGTAATGCACCGTAAAAAAGTGTGCCCCTCCAATAAAGCATTCTCAGGGATTTCAAGAATGGCGGATGCCACGTCCGCAGCATCCGTTGATGTTAACCCCGCATTACCATTGCTGCGGGAATGGTTCTTAACAGTGGACGGACCAGAGATAGCAGTAGCATCAAGTACCCGAATTAGCGCCAGTTGTTGCTGCTCAATATGCAACAAGACCTTTTTCGAAATATGGCTATTAGCTAAAAAGGCTTCTTCTTCCTCTGATGATCCGCGTAGCGAAAGCCACATGCGGTAGGCATAGAATGCACTCATAATATCACTACCAGAACCACCGGAGAAGAAGACTCGGGCCTCATTCATCAGCTGCCTCGTTTCTGCGTCTGCTTCACCCGAGGAGAATAAGCTACCTACCATCCACATCGCCGCAACAAGACTCGCCAGTACAAGGCAGTCACTCATTAGCGAGAGTAGCAGAAGACGCACCACCACGTGGTGCCACGGGAGGCACGCCGACGCCATACCGAGCGGCGAAAGCCGCAGGTACTCATCCCCATTCGATTTCTCCAGATGTCCCAATCGCTGGAGGTGATGCTCGACAACGGCAAAGGTGCGAGACAACTGCTCGTAGCGGCTACTTGACGCCGCTGAGACGCCAACAAAATGAGAAGGGATCAGCTGCGCCACCATTGACGATAAGAGATGAGTCGATTCTGCGGCCGACGAGGTGGAAGTAGACCTTCGATGGCGCACACCTTCTTCACGAGCCTGAAGTATGTGATACAACTTCACGTATCCGTCCCAGCTCATATGAAAGATGTTGTGGTGCCCAGGATCACTGCTGATACGCCGGTGCTGAATGCTGTGGAGATCAGACTTCGGAATTAGCTGTATAACAGTGCATGCTGGCGCCCGAGCAGCATCATTTTTTCCCCCAACGTCAAGACAGCGAACACGGGCAATTCTGCAGCGGTACCGCAGCTCCTGCACAGTGCTGTACTCCATTACAGTCGTATCCACATATGAGTTGACATCATAGGAGGAATAAGACTGTCTCGCACAGTCCACAACCAAACCCACATCAAGTGTGGGTGGAAGTCCTGTCTGCGCCATCATCGGTGTGGCAAGCAGTACCAAACGTTCACCATTCCTCGCCGTTTCATTATCTTTGAATAGAGAATTCAGCTCAACCAGAGTGTCATGGTCGCGTAAGACATGCACCGAAAGAGGTGACTGTGCCTTTTTGGATTCTTCTTCGCTTATTGTAGAGTCTTTGTTTGAACAGTGAAACGCATCGGCGACAAGTTCGGCAACTTGTACATTTGGCACAATTACCATAACCGAAGGCCTTTGTCGTTGCTGTGATTCCTCATCTGCCACCACGGAGGAATCCTTCCTTTCAGCTCGATCGTACTCTTTAACAGCTTGTATGATGATAGGGGACCAATAGGATTTAATTTTCGAATCGACTGTGAAGTCCGCATCCTTAGCGGCCATGATCTTTGCCACAACACTCATATTCTCCACATAGGGACGAAGGTCCTCTACCGGGTCGCGACAGAGAGAACTCCCCTCCTCATCACACTTCGCTAGCCACTGAATCGTCTCCTCAAGATGCAGAATACAAGGAGGAGACCATAAATTGTGAAGGTAGTTCGCTTCCGTTGCAGTCGTCTTGAGGTCCTGATGCATGACTTGCTGCAAATTCACACGTGCCGTTTTTTCTTCACCGAAGAAATCAGAAATGGTGGTTGCAAGGGCATCCTCGAGGCAGTCGACGACAACACGCAGCACCCCACCACGTTTCTCCACAGCACCCTCCTCTGTTAGAAGCTGCAGGATATTGCGAAGAAAGGACATGCACAACTCTGTTGTGGGCGTTCGCAGATTTATGTCGTTCAATATGACGCAGTCGACACGCAGCAGCAAAGGATCACAAATCAGCTGATGAAGAAGCATCTCAGGTGTCGTCACCGCAATAAGTGTCCCCTCCGACACATCGTATTGGATTGAGGTGCACACAGCGACCGTTGTGGATGCAGCATCTTCCCCACGTTCCTCGCGCAGCCGCTCCGCCACACGACACGCAGCTAAACTTGTTGGGCAGACAACAATAACCCGCTTGTTTTTAAAAACCTCCGTCTCCGATATGATCTGCGGCAATTGAAGCGTGCGACCGCTAGCGGGGGGTGCGACGAGTGCTAGAACCTGCTTGTTGAGCAGCGCATCAAGGAGTGGCCCGCGACACTGATATACCGGCAGGCGCTGTCGGTACGGCAGCCACTTACGTCGGTGCGTTAGCACTTTAGTCATAGGTGTGCGCGCGACACGCTGCGGGTCAAACGGCTTCATTGGGGCAAGCTTATGCACCGCCTGTAGCCGCTCCGTCTCGTCTTTCATCGCGAGCACCGTCGTCGCGTCGAGGAAGCCGCCGCCATTAAACGCTGCATTTGAAGCTGGTGGCGGCGGCGCACTTGCATTGAAGTGTGTCTCCCAGCGCGCCACATCAGCTTGTGTGACGGGGACATCCAGTGTAAAGGTGTGCGGCTTGTAGTGGGCGCCACGTCCACGATGGTGGCGCGCGACGAATTCCTGCTGCTGCTGACGGGGCAACGAAACCACCGAAGTGGTAGGGTCCTTACCAGCGAGGGAGGGTGTCATGCGGAAAGGTCTCTGCACGAATTCCCCTTTGTTCCACCTTCAAATTCTTTTAGATTTCTCTTTTCCTTTTCGATTGCGTATGTGTGAGCGTATTCCTCCTTCACGCAATTCCCTTTATAAAGTGCTGCCGCCTGCGCCGCTTTATGCGCTGCCCTCACTACGACTATCGTTTCTCTCCCTTTCTTACCCCCCCCCAGACAGATACGAGACGAGAGATGACAACGACGAAACAACAACAACAACAACAACAACAACAACAACGGTAACAGGAATACACTCACAAATCGCACAGATAGCTTTCTGGAAACATGAGCATGGGCAGACAGAGACACACCCAATCACGGGCACACACGCAGTGAGACTCATCACATATCACACAGGGGAAACAGCTCTCCGTCCCCTCACAGCGCAGAGCGTGCGCGGACTAATTCCTCCAAGGACCAAGGAGGACAAGGCGATGGCATGTTGGCACCATAAACATTGTGGGTGGAGAGACACAAATCGCTCCGCGCCCCTCCCCTCGTCTTACCATAACTACTAGCACACATTGAAAATGACGGACTTTTCCCTCTTCTCTTCAGTGTTTTTTTTGTATTATTATTTCTTGCATCAACGCCTCTATTCTCTTCACCCAGGCACGACGCACGTCGTAATAGTCTACTTTCGGCCAGTGCAAAAACGGGGGTGCGAAGAAAACAAAAAAACAAAACGTCAAACAGCAACGGCTGAATGAGGAAAGAAGAGCCCCCGTGAATGGGCGGCCATGGGATTATGAAGCGTATGCGGGGGCTTGCGTTCTACGCTCTGGAAGCTAAACAGCAGCAGGGCTCATACCTCATCTCTGGCCACAGGTAAGCCTCGAAGCTTCCGCAACTCCTCCTCCGTGACGGGAACACGGTTGCTCTCCAAACTAAGCTCCACCAGCTTCTGCATTTTGTAATGACGGTAGCAGAAGGCGAACACCGCAATGGTGCCGACGAAGCCCAGCACAGAGAGGACAATAGTGCCAGGACTTGCCGACACCGTCGTGCCTAAAATGAACTGAATCTCACGGAACGTGTCGTCCGGTACATCTCGGCCACCTGTCATCCATTCAATCGGTTCTGTAGCGGTGTAACGAAACGCCGGTGTCCCTTTAGGATCCCATAAACCCAATACGAGGGCGCGGTTTTGCATCTGAATATCAACATTAAACGCGGCGTAGTCACGATTGCCTTCCTTGTCGATTTTGAACGGTCCCGTAAAAACATCGAGTGATGCCGAACGAATATACGACATGATATTCGTGCTGCGGTTAAGACTCACGCTTGCATTCACAGCACGTTCAACGCTGTCAATAACGGTGTATGCTGCATCGACTGCAAAAGACGCCCAATTTCGAATGACAGATAGATTGCATCTCGCCACTTCAGAGGAAAAGCCACCCTGGGATAGAATGCGCATCTGCTCGCCCATAAGCCCGCTTTGCATAGAATCATTGTTGATGAGTTCCAGACGATTCTTAGGAACGTGCGGGTACACACAGAAGGAACTCTGTGACTTGTTACGCAGATCTGGATGGGAGGTGGCGTACTGGCAAAGCTCTTTGCCCATTAAGAAGATGTACTTATTCATGTAATCCAAGTCGTCGTTGAGTCCAAACCACATCTTGGCATCATCTCCATAGAGAGGGAGTAGAACAATCACAATACGAGCTATATCTCGCTTGTATATTGTGTCCATTGTTTCCACAATACTGCTCTTATCGATATTTGGAAGCATGTACACCTGTTCAACATGAACATTCCGCTGCTCCATCGACTTCTGCATAGAATGTAGTCGTGCGTCTCCAAACGGGTCCTTCACCCCAATGATGAGTACACGTTCCCACCCAAAATAGGCGCAGATTTCACCATAAACCAGATAATTAAACATGTTCTGAGGTATCGAGCGAGAGAAGTACGGGTACGCAAGGCGATCTGAAAAGAGCGCCTCCGCCGTGTTGAAATCGAGCTGCGTGATGGCAAACTGATTGATCACTGGAGTGAGAGCCAACGTGACACGCCCACGACCGGGCCCAACAAGCACGCTGCACGACCGCGCCACTGGAATCAAGGAGACCAGCCCTTCTACTCCACCAACACCGGTGTTGATTGCGTGCGGGATGAAAGTTGTCGCCCCTCGCGTTCCGCTTGTTTGCTGGTTGTGCCGCAGAAATACAAAAGCCATGGCGTTGAGGCTTTCTGCTTCGGCGCAACTGGCGGCGGCAGCCATGCAAACAGTCACTGCTCTCAACGGCGAGATTGGGATGAGAGCACGCGTTGCGGTCGGGTTGAAGTTCGTCACCTCCGGCACATCAGCGAGGGACTTTAGGCCCCACGTGATGAGCGCCTGATCGGCGGTGTACGTCTTGGATAAAAGCGAGTACATAACTTCCGTCCGCTGCCCTGTAAAGGCATCAAAGGCGACAGTGCCTGTGAAGCCATCAAAGCGGACCGATCGGATCGCACTTGGGCTGACATTGCCTGCTGTGGCCACTGCTTGCATCGCGTCGAAGAGGTGACTCACAACGTACGCGCCGTAGTCATCAATGGTTCGAGTGTCGAAGTATCCCTGCATAAGGAAGTTGACGACGGATGTGTATTTTGACACAAAGAGTGCGCCCCATAGCTTCACCAGTGGCTGGGCAGAGCCTATGAGTTCCCCAAGCACGTTCATCGCCTCACGTGAGCCAAGCAAGAAGAGATCGTCCCTTTTGCCTAGCCGCAGAACAGCAGCGCGCAGCCGCCTGAACTCTTCATCCGTCACGAAGCAGAGAATGCCAACCGGGCGGTAGCGCAGCACCTCAAGAATAACGTTGTTGTCATCCTCTTCAGTGCCAGCCGTCTTGATGTAAACCTTTGTCACAACATTTGGCGACCATCGCGCGAGTGGGATTTGCGAGTCTAGCACGGACTCCACACCCGTCCCATAAGCGTCACTGCTGAACACCACCGCGACGGAGTCCCACGCCAGTTCTGATGAGGCGATCTCTAATACACCGCGCACGTTGATGAGGTCGCGTGGCACGACGCACACGGTGGTAGGATTGGTGGCGAGGTCGCACAGTTTGGGGTTCGACGTGTGTGCCGAAACGATAGTGATGCGGGCGGTGCTGCTGTTTCGCCTCAACACATCACTAACGCCCGTTGAGACATCCGCAGACTCTGCAAGGAAAAGAACATCAAGTCCATTGGGGTCTTCCTGGAGCAGTCCCTGCACCTCTGCGAGGGCGACAAGAAGACTGCCGTTCGAGTTCAGGATGGTCGGTGGCTGTGCGAAGACCGTTGTGGCGGGACTTCCAGCACTCGTAATGTACGTGGCAACAGCCGCGTTGAGCGCCTCCTCCGTCATTTTGGTGCGGCGCAGGTCGAGCAGGATGGCAGAGCGGAGAGGCCGTGCCTGCCCGTACACACATCCGACCATTGTGGTTAGACAGACAGCCACAATGAGCGCAACGTGCGGAAATGACACCGCCATTGTTTTATTTCTTCTTCTGTTGTGTGTGTCTGTCTGTGGGTGAAATATTTGGTTCTCTCTGCCTCTTTTTTTGTTTTGCACTTACGCTCCTCCACTTCCACAGTCGCGCCGGCCCGTTGAATTACTTTTTTGTGCTCCCTCGCTCCAAGTGCCTTCCTGTTTTGCGCGGCTCCTCGAACTGCTGTGGGCGGGAACTTCTTTTGGTCTCTTGTTGTCTGTTGGTGTTGCTGGTGTCCCTACCCTTTCCCACGCCAGTCCCTCTTCCTTTTCTTTTCTTTTTTCCCGCCTCCTTCCTGTTGCTTGCTTGCTAACTTGCTGCTGCCGCGCGTGAATAGATGCGCACGCGCCTGCTATGAGTCGCAAAGGCCTGTTGCTCCGCGTGAGTTGCCCCACGTCTCGCACCAACCACCCGCCCGAAGAGATGCAGCAGGAAAGAAAGACGACACGAAGAACAATTAGGCAACACAACACCAGAAAATAAAGTTCGACATTAAGGGTTTTATGCACGCCTTATCCCCCCCCCCGTGCGAGAGACCTTTTCACCGCTTCTGATTCCGCATTCTTGTTGTTGTTGTTTTTGATTCTGATTCTCTCTTTTTGTTTTTCTTTCTTGTTTTCTTTCTTTCTCTCTCTCTCTCGCCGTCCTCCACCCCAACTGCTCTCGGGGGCGCAATACTTGCAACGCGCAGAACGCATCGCAGCACTCACAGAAACAATGGGAAGAAAACAAAAAAACAAAAAAAAGGAAATCAAACTACAAAGAAAAAAAAAAAGAAGAACGGCTACATCCCTCTAGCGTATTGGGCAGCGGATACTGCCGGGTCTTGGACAGAGAACAAAAAAGGAGATTCAGCCAGGGGGACAAGCAAAAAGAAAGAGAAAAGAGCACCGAATGGAAGTGCGACTTCTTCAACCGAGCGCCACGACAGCACTCGATGCGCCGCACACCATCCCATTGCCCGCATCTCCCCCCCTTGCACCTCTCTCTCAACGCTTCTAATATTAGCTGCCACCCACACAGCGGCGTGCGCCCCCCCCCCCNAACCGCCACCCATTTCGGCTTCCTCACTCCGCTTTCGCTCCACCTCCTTCGCGTTGGGTGAGTGCAGAAACGCAAAGTGTGGGGAGCAACAACAAAGACAACAACCACAACAAAGAAAAAAAAATCGAGCGAGCGCTGAAGGTCGTGAAGCACCCCCCAGAAAAGTAAGAGGAAGAGAGACGCAGCAACGTGCTGTGGTTGCCAACGCCGCACAGGTTGCTGCAAGAGAGGGGTATATCGTGCAACTATCTGTTTCTTTTTGTTCTGTGTTGAAAGGGGCAAAAAATGGCGGAAGACGACAGCACAGCAGCAGCAACAACAACAACAAAGGAACATGAAACGACACGGGCAGAGGGTCATACCAACGGTCTAGAAGAATTTCTTCACTCCGCACTTCTGTCTTCTTATGCTCACCTTAGTGCCCCCTCTCTGTCTCTTTCTTCATTATTGTCCTCGTCATTTTTTTTTCTTTGGTTATTTCCTTTGCTCCTCTTCTTTCACCTGCGCCTCCTCCCCCCTCACCCACACGTTTCCCTTTTTTTTTTTTNTTTTTTTTTTTGTTCTTCTCTTTCATCCTCTCCTCTTGGCTCCCTCCTGGCTGCGTCACGCCCCTCCCGTGGCTTCTGCTTCCCCCGCCTGCAGCGTACATGTCTTCTGTGCCTCCACCGCCCTCACCACATACGGCGGCTCCTCTTCTCATATGTATCTCCCACTGCATGGCGAGCTCAACGTAACTGTGTATTTTATTGATTTCATTCATTTGTTTTTTTTTTGTTTTTTTTTTGTCATTCTCTCTTGCATTGCTTGCTCTCTACACTTTTTCTTTCTTCGTTGCCAACTGTCTTACCTTCTTCTCGTGCGCTCACGCTCCCACTCACTCCCTAACCACACAATCATTCATTCGCTCCATCTCTGTCCTTTCCGCCTGCGCTGCAGCAGGCAGCTTTCTCTCTATCTCTGAGTGTGTGGGTGTGTCTCTTCCTCTCTGCGGCGGGGAGTGGCGGTGGCACGACAGCATCGTCTACAGCCGCTCGCCACGCAGCTTCAGCGCAAGCTGAATGTCCTTCGGGTACACCGTCACACGGTTGGCGTGCAGCGTGCACAGGTTGGCGTCCGCGAGCACTGACGTGACGTACAACTCCGTCGACTCCTGCAGCGCCTCCACACACGTTGGGCTCATGCGGAATGAGTCCTTCAGATTCGACACAATCTCCCGAACGAGGCGACGGAATGGTGCTTTGGCGATAAGAAAGTCGGTGGAGCTCTGGTAGCGCCGCACCTCGCGGAGCACAACGGTGCCAGGGCGCCAGCGATGCCGCTTCTTCGCGCCAGACGTCTGCGACTCTTTCTTTGCGACGATACGGCCCTCCGTGTGGATCTTGCGTGACGCAAGGTTCTTTCGCGGGCGCGGCAGCTGCGCCGAGGCGCGCTTCGCCACCATCGCCGTCTTCTTTAGGGTCACCATGTTGCAGACAGAGTGTGCGTGAGTGTGTGTGGTGCCCTCTTTTTTTTTCTGGGTGTGTGTGACTTCTTTGCTTTTTAGTGGTACACTGTACGGGGTGTGTGGCGAAGAGAGCACAGAGAAGCATCGGCACATATGTGTTTCGTCGACAGAGCCCAACGCACAGACAGGAGACCACACAGACACACAATAACGAAAGAAAGAACAATCACGAGGAGTCATTTGGGGGGTAAAGTCGGGAGTGGAGAGAAAAAAAAAAAAATGGGGCTTTCGACACAGCAGAAGAGAAACAAATCCACGTTGCCGCATCAGCACGCCACACAGAAATGCTCGCTGCGTCTCGCTTCACTTTTCCTCCTCCCGTTTTCCAGTTGCTTACTCCTTCACGCTATCGCTTGTACAGTTAGGTAAAAAGGAACGGGATAGACGATGAGAATGAGAGCGTAAGCCCACGTGCTGTGTGCTGGGGCGGGATGGCAAAACCCAACAGATACGAAACGTTCGCGTTGGTGCTTACGTGTGTGCCCACCACCTTCTGTCCTTTCCCCACGTTTTCGTTAACTGTTTATGTGCCTGGGCCGTGGCACGATACAACGTCGTGGCAAACGCATGTGCCTGCCACTGCCTCTAGTCTTACTGTCTCCCCGCGCCGCTTGGTCTTTTTTTTTGTGTTTACTCTCCCTTCATGGCTCTCTCTCTCTCTCTCTTTCTCTTTCTCTATGTGTGAATGGGAATGAGGAGAGCGATAAGGGTGCGGAGGACAGGCCCTGGCTGCGCTTGCTCCTACAATCCCTACACATCGTTAAGCAAATGTGTGCTCTAGTCCTCACCCACTTCTCCCTAGTTATCGGTTTCTTTTAGCTTTTTTTTTGTTTTTTTTTCTTTGTTTTACGGTTCTTCTGATCACAAATGCCACATACTAGTGCTCTGTGCATCAATCCTTTTTTCCCGCTATCCCAACAGACTGACTCCGGTGCTGCTGAGTCTGCAGCAGCGGCGCATCTACGTAGCTAAAGTACTGATCCACCTTGTTCTGGGTGCTGAAGCGCCATTCAATGCAAAGACGGTTCAGTTCGCCGCGGAGCCACTCCTTCACAGCCTGCTGCCCCCCTGCGGCAATCTTAGTGGCCTCCATCTCAAAGAGCTCCTTCACGTGTGTGGCAGGCGGCACCGCTGCTACACTACTGTACGAGCAAGCCGGACTATCCGCCGCGGCCTTGGCGAAGTACTCTGCGGGGTGGGAGAGATCGTACCGTGTGCGGTCCACGTTTATGCACATTGACGGCACCACCTGCGCCGCTGTAGACTGGGAGCTCGGCGGTGGGGACAATTGCCGCATCGCGGCACCGTATCCATCTTCGCCAAGAAGTACCCGCCGCTCCTCCTGTATCTGCTGTTGCTGTTTTTGCCACGAGCGAAGGAATGCGGCGTTGGCGCACCGTCTAAATATGCGACGACGGGTGACGAAGAAAGCGACAACTTTCAGCCTCTCCAGGCCGTATTCTCGCCAAAGAATTTCAGCAATGTGATTGTGTTCACGCTGCGATACCAAAAATTGGGTCGGGTCGCGCAACAGGATTCGTGCAACATCACCGGAGAGCTCAGCTCGAAGTGAGGAGCTGTTTTGCGTCCCAACCATCATCCTCTCGTCTTCCTTGAGCTCCAAGATGAAGGCGGCACCATCATCAATGCACCGCAACCGTACAAAGCAACGCCGTTTCAGCAGAGTCCCATCTGTGGCATCGTCAAAGTAGTAATTCTCCTGGTACCTTTCCTCATCCACCTCCTCCTTCGATTCAGTGTCTCTGGCGACCTTTTGGCTTATGTACTCTGCTTCCACAGGAACTGAGCGCTGAGAGTACTGACGCAGCGCTTGTGATGCCAACTCCTGCGTGCCGTGAGCAATGGCTTCCACGTCACTTGCGCCTCTCTGCAGCAGCGCATCGCCCGCCCACCGCTGTGACTGCGATTTTGAGTAATGCGACGCCTGAGACATATGTGATGACGGTGGTTCCTCTGATGCCGCGTCCCTAATCATGCGTTGCATCCATGCGAGCACCTCCATGTAGCTGTCAATGCTATAAAGACGCAACTTGACTCCCTGCACGTCCTCACGGGCTTGCGTCAGTCCACGAGTGTACTTCATGAAGCGTGCATATTTGCTCTCCAAACTCAGACTATATTTCACGCCTAGTGACCGCAGGTATTCCTGCAGCTCTATCATCACATCATGGAGCGGGACCGAAATTCGCGGCAACTCAAGCTCGTACTTCTTGCCGAAGGGGTACTCCGTCTCGTCGATACGAATGTGCATCACCTGGGGTGATGGCTGAGCACTGAAGCCAGAACCGCCCGCAGCAACCGCTTTACCAGCATTACTTGAGGGGCTGTCATACTTGTATACTTTACGATGAGTTGTGTATGATCCGACTAGCTGCACTTGCGGGGGGACCTCTGCCGAAACCGCGAGGGTTTCCAGCTCGGTGATGATGCTGGCGAGAGGGCTCTCCGGGTCCTGCACTGCGTCGCGGCATAACCGCTTCAGCACGCTTAGGAGGTCGTCGCCGTCGCGGAGTACCACCTCCACCATCTCCTGCTGCAGCCGCTTCACCTGTTGTACGCCGAACACCTGTTCGCCTCGCTCCACCATGCTGTGGTCCTTCAGCGTTAGTGATGACAGGTTGTGTGCATTCATTTCGCCGGTCTCGGTCGGCACGCGGAGCCGCAGCACTGCGGCACGTTGCGCCAGGAGGTGTGAGGGGAAGTCGAAGAAGTAGTCCTTATAGCGCTCCTCGTACAGGAATCCACCTTGCAGTGCTTTTGTTACCCGTTCAAGGTCGCCCACATCCTCCAGGAGAAATTTCGCGTCCACCTGCATTTTTCACAGTTCCTTGTGTGTTCCCCGTTGCTCCACTCGTCTGTCAGGGTCTTACGAAATTTGAACGCACCCACCGCCGCGTCCTTGCGCCAAATACGAAATGAAGAATACCTTCTGAAACACAAAAAATACAGTGTACCACACAGCCCCGGGGAGCGGAGAACAGAACAAGACCAGCGCAAACAAACAAAAGACCAAAAAAAAAAAAAGAGAGCAACAGTAATGCGTTGGTGAGTAAATGAGTGGGTGAGAGAAATGGTGCTCATTTGCTCAAAGACGCATAGAAAACAAGAAAAAAAAAACAGCACGAGCCGTGCACCGACATGCTGTTTTCTTTTTCATTGGAGTAGGGAGTTAGCTAGAGCCTATATCACAGCAGCGAAACCCACACAGAGACAGACACACACAATTATGTGGGGGAACAGAGGCAGAATAAAGGGGTCTGCGTGCGTACACGACACAAAGTTTCCACACCCCTACACACCTCCCGCTCTCACATATGCCTGCTCCTCTCCTCAGACATCATGCACACCTCACTTATCGTTTGCCGTCTCCGCCACCTCCACCATGAGAAGCGTGTCATCACTGTAGTCCACATTCATCAACGCGCGTACACCCAGGAACGCCGCCACAATGAAAACAAAGAAGCTGACGACGCCGATAAGGTACTGCTGCGAGGTAGGGTCCATCGGCTCAAGCAAGTTAGGCGCCACAGGGGTGTCCCGCAACTCCACCTGCCCCGCCACAAGTGGCGCCGCCAAAATTGTAAGAGCAACCACACACAGAGCGACGCGACAAACAAGAGTACGCATCATTCCTATTTCTCCGCGCATGTACGTGGACCTTAAGCTACAACTCCTCCTCCAGCCTTTCTTCGCTATTCTCTTGTTCCTCGTGCGTTCCTTCCTCCTTATATGCCTAGGTGGCCTTCTTATTTTTCTTTTTTTTTTGTGTGTATGTTCGTGTCTTGCCCACCGCTTCACTACGTATGAAGAATCGTCCGAGTCGTGTACCCCGTCTCTTTCCTTTTCCTTTCTTCTTCATGACGCAGCGAGAAAATAAAACAAAGATAGAACAGAAAAGGTTAGAACGGGCGCATCGCGGGTGTCACACACATACACACCCACACATAGAACACTGGATATATGTTTATTTGATTCGATGTATAAAAGTGTGCATATTTACCAATCTATATTCATATATAGATATAGGTATAGGTATAGGTAGATCGATATATATATATATATA